ATTCTGATCTACAGTTGTTTATGTTTCTAGAATTATTCAAAAATTCTGATCTATAATTGTTATTCCCTCTGGAATTGTTCTACATTTCTGGTCTATAATTGTTATTCCTGCTGAAATTATTAATAATTTCTGGTTGATAATTTTTGGCCCTTCTAGAATTGGTACTTTTGAAACCGTGCTTGTAGTTATTAGTAGTAATTTAAACACAAATAATTATCGTATTTATCTTCAGGCACTTGGCAATACTCATCATCAAGTTTTATTCAGTTGATACGTGTTGTTATTACACACGTTTCGGGCATTTATTGCCCCTCTTCAGCCAACTTGCAGTTTTTCTCTGTAATTGTTGTTGTTTTTTTGCTGACCTTTATTTATTTTTTGATGATTGTTGCCGTTTCAGCTTTGAAATTCTTATTCTGGTACTTTTGAAACCGTGCTTGTAGTTATTAGTAGTAATTTAAACACAAATAATTATCGTATTTATCTTCAGGCACTTGGCAATACTCATCATCAAGTTTTATTCAGTTGATACGTGTTGTTATTACACACGTTTCGGGCATTTATTGCCCCTCTTCAGCCAACTTGCAGTTTTTCTCTGTAATTGTTGTTGTTTTTTTGCTGACCTTTATTTATTTTTTGATGATTGTTGCCGTTTCAGCTTTGAAATTCTTATTCTGGTACTTTTGAAACCGTGCTTGTAGTTATTAGTAGTAATTTAAACACAAATAATTATCGTATTTATCTTCAGGCACTTGGCAATACTCATCATCAAGTTTTATTCAGTTGATACGTGTTGTTATTACACACGTTTCGGGCATTTATTGCCCCTCTTCAGCCAACTTGCAGTTTTTCTCTGTAATTGTTGTTGTTTTTTTGCTGACCTTTATCCATTTTTTGATGATTGTTGCCGTTTCAGCTTTTGAAATTCTTATTCTGGTACTTTTGAAACCGTGCTTGTAGTTATTAGTAGTAATACTAATTACTACTAATACTAATTACTACTAATAACTACAAGCACGGTTTCAAAAGTACCAGAGAATTAAAATATTTTCCATTTGGTTGACAAAGCTTGAAAGACAAAAGTCAATGACATAGCTCAGGTCAAAACCAACAAAGAATCCCACCCCAGATGTTTGTCAGTTTTGTTTGACTTTTACCTTTGGAGAGACAGGTCCAAAATACCCATTTCTCAACTGGTATAATAAAATTTGCACCAATTTGTTAAAGTCTCAGGAAGAGCAAGTCTACTAAACATGAAGTAAAGATTTAGATATTTGCAGTGTCNAAGTAAAATTCCCCCCCAAAAAAAATTTTATATTTTATATTTGGAATTTAATATTCACAACATTTTTCTTCTTTATTCAATAATTACATTCAAATTTCGTTTGAATAAACTTACTTTTTTCTTCTATCTTCCTTGTTGCTAAAGAAGAAATTGGTACACTCCGAGAGGAATGTAACGAACGTCTTCTTTATCTTTCTACACATTAACATAGGAAGAGATGCGGTTGATGAAAACAATTACATATAAATCACGTAACGTATATGTAGTGCAATAAAAAAGAAAGATGATAGTTATAGCAAAGTTTACTTGCCTTTTATTCTTCTGGTGCATCTCGAATAACAAACAATCGATTAGAATAAACGTATAGAACACTTTAACTTAAAGAAAAATTTAACTATAGCAAGTTATTAAACTTTTAAATGGTTTTTTCCCCTTCTTTTATTGAAAGAAGGGGAAAAAATACAATTCTGTTTAAAGTGATTTAATCTACTTTTTGATATAATTATAAATTTCTTTCGTAGATAAATTTATCAAGCATTTTTTTTTCCTTTTCATTTTCTTCCTGTTTCTTTAATTTTATCTTTTATATGAAATTCGAGCTTTTATATTTAATTAGTAATAAGATACTCTTTCGTTTAGAAAAATTAAATTTCTAAACGAAGGAAGTAAATGTCTCCCCCACCTTTTTTTTTAAAAAAAATCATCTCTCACCTTTCTCGTTTCCTTAGTAACAATTAAAAATCGCTTCCATGTTTTTTTATATTAAGTTTTATCATATGTTGCAATTACTTTTATCTGCTGAGAGATCGAAAATTTCGTTAAAGAAGTTAATTAATTACGTTTATCGGGTGGAAGAATAAATAAAATTCGTGTTTTTACATCCTCATATTTTAGGATTTTTCTATTATAGAGGCCACAGACTCGATGCTCACATTGATATAACAAGATCATCTCTACAAGGAAGGGGGAAAAAATAATTAAGCGGCAGAACAGATGAAGAATAGAAAGAGGGATGATGAAAGAGCATCTAAATGAAAAATAATAAATTGGGTGATGAAGAGGGTGAAGATAATGCCATAGAGAAGTATAGAAATCTGCAGATCTCTCGTCTACACACAAAGGAATAGCGGGATGAAGGATAGAGCTGGAGCTGAAGTCTAACAGATGGGGATAAAGGATGGCTACAGAAAGCGGGAAACAACACATTAACTCAACAATTAGAGAAACTACAGGATGATGGAAAAGTAATGAAGTTGGGAACAATATTTCAGGAAGGGTGTAGAAGCTAATGTAATATTGTTGAGTTAATTCGTAGCCAGCTATAAACAATTGCTAACAATTTTGTTACGGGGTATAAAACAGAAATAATTCTAACACGTAACACAAAAGCGCTTGTATATATATATATATATATATAATGTTATAGACTGTACATTAAGGTGTTTATATAGAAAAATATTAAGTAAAATGCCGAAAATTTTTGTTATTATATAGAGTATTCCGATAAACTTATCATTAAATAAATCACCATTTTGCAATTCAAATGAAGTAAATTAAAATTCAAACTTCTTTTGAGATAGAAAACAGTAAAAAAAAATATATAATAATTTACGTAATTAGCTAAAATATATTAATAAATTCATATAAATTTATGCTAATTTTTCTTCAATTCGGTACTGTTTGATATTATAATTAGTTAATGTATTTCCTTAGTTTTTTAATAAAGTTCAAGTGATGCATAAATATCAATGTCTTATATGTTAATGCATCAATTGTTCCCATTGAATTTTAATATCATTTGTATGTTAGATGCTATAAAATTAAGAATTCTATCGTTTCTTTAAATAATTACAAACTACAAGTAAATCCTACATCCACTTCTTAACATTACAAGTAAATGTAATTAAGTTTAATGCATCATTTCGTTTGAATTTTAATAAAATTTTAGTAAATTCTTCTAAGTTCTGTGTACATAACATCTAACATATTAAAATTAGCTTGTTTTTCATCAGAAAAATCATTTATAAGATCACATTTCGAGTAATTTAAACATCAAACAGCTATTTTCTTTGATAAATGCATACAAATTGATTTAAAAAAAATAAAATTATATAAAAAATAAATTTAGTCTGGATGCTTTATTGAAAGTTTTCTGAAAAACTAATTACAAATTTTTAAATTAATTTAGATTTTATAACGAAATTACGGATAAACTGCAAGTTGGCTTCACTGCACAGCTTCCTGTTATAAGGAGAAGAGGCATTTACAGGCGACTAACTAAATCATCACTCTAATGGGCTTCAACAATGGATTTGTTCATTTTTTTAAATTATTTTCTTCTGTTTTGTGTTAATAAAGGCTACTACACAGCTAGTGCTTTAATTAATTATCATCATCATCATCATTAAAGTATTAATTAAAATTAACTTATGTTTTTAATTGTAATCAAATGAAGTGCGCGAAGCTTTAATTATATGAAACTTCCGCACGATGATGACAATTTTTAATATGAGAAAAAATCTACAATTTTCTAGTCCCTATATAGTTAAAGTAGTAATAAATAATTCTTGAAATAATGTCTTTACTAAGAAATTTCTTTTCCTTTCATAAAAATTGTCGGGTAATTTCTACCGATGACGATAATCTATCAATTTTGATAAATATATTTAAATGGATATTTATAAATTGATGTAAATATACTAAATATTCAATCTTGTAATTTGTCAGCTTCTAATGATGAATTATTAATATTGATCTGTAATGGATATACTCGGAAGCAAAAGATAAGTCTATCATCTCCGACAGTCGTAGACGCGCGCATAAAATCAATAAAAGGTAAAAAATTTCTCCACTATTTATCCAATAAATATATTATTACATTTTAAAACTTCCACATCCATCTTTTGTATACAGAAAGTTCAATTTCGGGGACCTCTCGGTGTCTGATATTTGAATCGAACGGTAAGGCGAGTGCGGAAATCTTAATTTTTTTAAAATTTACTTTTGTTTAGTTACATATTGGAAATTATTCTGTGAATTCGTAATTGCTACTGTTTTATATTAATATATTTAGACAGAGATTATGATTTTTTCTTGAATGAATTTGTTTCTATGGAGGTAATTGACTGCTTGACCTGAAGAAGCATGCTATGAAATTGCTCATCCGCAATCAATTTCTATTTGACACTGTGAGATTTCCATTTATCTACCATTGTAAGAGGTTTTCCATCCTTAAAATGTGAAAAGAAGTTAGAAAATCAAACAAATTACAACAATAAATACTGCAAGAAACATAAACAACCATAGACTCCAGCAGAAATTCTGTAACAATGGATGTTTTCAACCATACTCCAAGGATTTCATCAGACAACATGACTTTCAACACTGAAGAAGCTCATGGAATGTCTTCAATGTTCTTTCGAATAATGCATTTGACATTTTCAAAGGTCAAATGTTAGTTAATAAAAAATTTTTACTGTAATTTATTGTCGTTTATAACTTATGTTTGTGATAATACAGTTTCTGCACTTAATTTTTCCATACTAAATGCTGATATGTGACAAAGACAATAGCTGGGAACAGAGTGGAAAGGTGATAAGTAATTTAATGATTAAATGGAATCACTTGGCAAATTGAAAGAACATGCCAACGACAACTGGCATTCCTTTGTCATAGCAATTCAGTTAAATTGGCTTAAAGTTAATTACTAATCATACATTGTATGTAAAGCAAATTTTTATTTTTTACATCTATACAATTCATGTTAATACATACATCATCAAAGAACCAAAAAAAAATAGAACTTCTTTTAATTTCGAACTCTCTCTTGACTAACTTCTTTGACTTTTGCAGCCAGTAGTTCGTTCTTGCGGCATTCCTTTAAAAATAAAAATTATTACGAGATTAATATTTAATTAATATTTTAGTATAAGTATTTGTTGCTTAATGACATTCTACTTAATTAACAACAGACTAATTATACATAATCGTTCGATAAGTTCCTGGAATTGTGATATAGGACATACAGAAACGCTTTAATAATAATAGCCAAATTCTAGGGCTATGCAAAAACTATAATTAAATATTTTAAATTAATTAATTTGACTAGAGGTAGGCAGTTATGCTGCCGTGTCGTATTAAATTTAATTAACATTATATAACTATTTTACCACACTGCAGATATAAATCCTGTCTTACGCATGGGTGATAATCATTATTAAAATTTAACTATTGTTTATAAGCATTCTAAAGCCAAACTAGTCTGGTGTTACACATAAAAGCAACAAAAAACTATACATATGTCAGTCAGGGTTGTTTAAAAAGTGGTCAACCTACCAGTGAAGGAGTTGTCAAGGTGGAATAAGTTTGCAACATTTTGAAGCGAAACTCTCAACACGTAATTTGCGCCGTGTGGAGAAACATCCTGGAAAATTGAAACATGGAAGATCTACAATGTGCCGTAATAATACCTGTATCTCTTGCAGAAAATTCATGAATGTGACTTTGAACTGTTATCCCCTCTCATCAGATTTAGCAAAACTGGACTTTCACTCATTCCCAACACTCAAATAACATTGGACAGGACAGTGTTTCAACAGTGATAATGCTATTACAGAGGCTATCTGTGTATGGTGTGAAAACCAAGACAAATGTTTTCTTGCAAAGGGTTTGCAAAAGCAGAGAACCACTGGGAGAAGTGCCTTACACTCCAGAAGGACTACATAGAAAAGTGTTAAAGTGCAGTTTGCATGGGACAACTCCTTTGCGGGTAGATTCGATACTTTTCAAACAATGCTCTTAAATAATACCTCTTTGAAATCCTTTACTGTCTTGAAATATAATCTTTGTTTTTCTACTAAGTCCAGATATGTATCGTTTAGTTGATCGCGTTTCATTTTCTCTTCTTGCTTTTTCTTTTCAACCTAAATTTCAAGTAAAATATCTTTAGGAAAAGCTTAAATATATTTTTAATATTTTTATATAAATTATTTAAATTAAACTAAACNTTATAATATATAATTAAAAACAAGATATTTTGCTCTATAAATCATGAAAGAAGAGGTGATGCTAAAGATGGTGATGATGATGTTGGTTGTAGTGATGCTGGTAGTGGTAGTGAATTCTCTTTTCTATTATTATAAGTACATTAATGTAATATTTAAATTGTAAAGTTATATTTATAATGAATTTACTTAATTAAATTTATTGTAAACAGAATACTGAAGCTGTTATTTATCTTTTAATAAAATTAAAAAAGAAAAGATAAACATGAGCTTTAACTCCTCGATCAATATTATGAAAAAGAAAAGATTTTTGCTCAGAAAAATAAAGTTTTTGAAGACAAATTTATAGAATTTATAACATTAATAACTATAATAAACCATCGTAAATGTATTTTTTAATGATTTTTATTTTTATTTTTTTAATAGAAATGGTTACTTTTTTCATGTAGCATCATCAATTGCAATGAGATGAATGGAGATGGAAAGAAAGATTTACTTTGTGTATTTACAGTTAATTTTTACTTGTATAGACAGGGTATTAACAAAAACACTAATTGTAAAGTTAAATAAGATTAAACAAACTAAAAACTCTTAAAGATTTGCCTTGATTTTTAGGAAAAGAAGAAGAAGCTAAAGAGAAGTGAAAATTTAGCAAGTTGTATCTCCTCCTGTTGTTGATAAAAATCAAAAATATAAAGAATAATGGTAAAAAAACTCAGGTTTTCTTGCGTGAAAACCCATTAATTTTTATAGGAAATGCTTTGTATGTTCTCTGTTTATGGTTAACAATAAATTATTGGTCAATTCTTTCCATTATCCTATAAAAGAGATTTCTCTCAACTATATGATAATGGATAGACCCAATGTTATTTTATGGACAATTTACTTAATAGACCATTTTATTTCTACAAGCCATCTATTCTTCTTCGGGTAACAAAATCTAATAGGAAATCTCTACGTATTAATCTAAATACTTTTTATCTACATAAAGGAAATGATTTCGTGAAATAGTCTGCATCCTTTTTGACTTTTTATGCTAATTATCTCTCTGTATATATAAAGAGATTAGCTTAGAATCTAGGAAAATAAGAGAATGATGAGAGATTTGATTGGAAAAATAAATTTTAAAATGTTTAATTTTGAAATAAATTACTTATATTACATCGTTTTTCATATGAAAGATAATGAAGACGAAGATAAATTGTAGCATCATCTTATATATGGAAGAAGATGAGGATAAAATATAGCATCATTTTACATATGAAAAAAGATGAGGATAAAATCTAGCATCATTTTACATATGGAAGAAGATTAAAATAAAATTTAGCATCATATTAAATTTACTTTTTCAGGTGATTCTCCTCGTCTTGCACCTTCGTTTTCTTAATTTACAACACTCTTAAGCTACTGTAATTATTGAAAAGTGCAAATTTCGAATAATAAGTTAGAGAATTGAAGGAAATTTTAGTAAACTGCATTTTTATTTTACTATATTTTATTTTTTTTTCCCCTTGCTTGTGAGAAGACCTTTCGGAAAAACACGACCATAAAAGTAAAATGTGGAGACGTGTATTGTGTGATTCTGTTTATTTCTCTTATAGCTTTTCATTTACCTTTCCAAAAATACATCCTTCCTCAACAAACCACACAATATAAATTGGTAACATTTACTTTTAAATGGAAGAAATATTCTTTTCCCCCCTCCGAATTATTACATTTTTTTATGGAGAACGTGAGAAACCGTAATATAAAAATCTCTCTACAACACCCCACCGAGAAGATATGTATATGTGTACGTTTGCTGTTGTGTAGCTGTTCTATAATGATTAGGGTTGCCCAAAACTCCGTTAACCTTTTACAAGAAAGCAATTTGAAACATTACTCGTTAAAATCTAAAAATAATATATGTGTTTAGTGAATTTCGTAAGTAATAAAGTGTTTTTATAAGGCAACAAATTAAAGTTTTATAATGGTTAACTGACTATTGGGCCACCCCATATATTTATTTACAGTTTTAGACTATTTAAAAGACAATTAAATAGATGAATTGTGTAGTATATTTATTCTAGAAATGAATGAACTGTGAGAAATAGTTGATGTTAATAGAACATGAATGATAGAAGACATCAAGAGAATAGATGAAAGACATCGAAGATTGGTATAGAGATAATTATTAGATCCACCATCCTATGGATAGAGAGAGATAAAAGACAATTGTAGAGAACACATCTAGCATTAACAAGCATCAGATCAATAGCATCCTTGGAAGAATAGATGGAAGAGAATTGTAGAAAAGTCATCAGGCATCAATAGCATCCTTGGATAAACAGATGTAATAGAATTGTAGAGAAGAGAAGGTATCAGATCAATAGCATCTTTAGATGAATAAAAGAAAGAGAATAGTAGAGAAGACATCTAGCATCAGTTTAATAGCATCTTTGGATAAACAAGTAGAATACAGTTATAAAGAATGGATTTAATATCGATGAGCATCTTCCTTCGGATAAAGAAGAGGAAGATGATCTGTAGAAAAGAAATTTGACATCAATTATTGTAATTAATCGACTAATTAAACGAATAAATGTAGAAATAACTCCATTATCTCGAAGCAATGATGAAGCAACTTACATAATTGATAATTGTTTCAATTAACATTAATTACATTATCTAAATTACTTATTATTAGCTACAGAATTGTGTATTCTAGATAAAAGCTTTCATTTAGCAAATTAAATTTACATAATTAACAAGTCTTTATATAAATATACAATTACCGTAAGAAATGATATGATGTGAGCATCTTAATTAATTATAAAAATGAGAAAGTTGGAGAAGGGATGAGAATGGATTTGTAGGTGATTATACAATAATAATATCACGTATTTTATTGAGAATAATCTAAATAACCCCTGAGAATTCTATAGATTATCGAATCTCCTCTTTATATAGATTATATACCTTCGTAGTAAATAATATATCCACCTTTCTATCAGCTGATATAAATAATACGTCCACCTTTCTGAATTATTTAGAAATTCTAGAACAAATCTAGAACAAAACATATGAGATGAGGTAAGAGTTATGATAAATAAATTGATAAAAATTAAGTTTATTTTGGTTTAATGTAGTTTGGTGATGAATTAGATGATTTATTGAAAGAGGATAATGATGAATGTTTAATGTTTAAATCATGTTTTAAAGTGTATCATCAGATAAGTTTATAAATTCTGCATGAGGGAATCAATATATTATGACCCAATTTATCGGTAAATTATCTAAATTTATTCTTCGATATCATCAATATTAATCATTTATTTAAAGGTATCATTTTCTTTACTTTTATTTCGTATTTTTTCTACTTTTCTGCTTCATTTTCACGTTATTATTGAACTTCAGAACTGTTGACGCTTCTAGAATTCTGATCTACAGTTGTTTATGTTTCTAGAATTATTCAAAAATTCTGATCTATAATTGTTATTCCCTCTGGAATTGTTCTACATTTCTGGTCTATAATTGTTATTCCTGCTGAAATTATTAATAATTTCTGGTTGATAATTTTTGGCCCTTCTAGAATTGGTACTTTTGAAACCGTGCTTGTAGTTATTAGTAGTAATTTAAACACAAATAATTATCGTATTTATCTTCAGGCACTTGGCAATACTCATCATCAAGTTTTATTCAGTTGATACGTGTTGTTATTACACACGTTTCGGGCATTTATTGCCCCTCTTCAGCCAACTTGCAGTTTTTCTCTGTAATTGTTGTTGTTTTTTTGCTGACCTTTATTTATTTTTTGATGATTGTTGCCGTTTCAGCTTTGAAATTCTTATTCTGGTACTTTTGAAACCGTGCTTGTAGTTATTAGTAGTAATTTAAACACAAATAATTATCGTATTTATCTTCAGGCACTTGGCAATACTCATCATCAAGTTTTATTCAGTTGATACGTGTTGTTATTACACACGTTTCGGGCATTTATTGCCCCTCTTCAGCCAACTTGCAGTTTTTCTCTGTAATTGTTGTTGTTTTTTTGCTGACCTTTATTTATTTTTTGATGATTGTTGCCGTTTCAGCTTTGAAATTCTTATTCTGGTACTTTTGAAACCGTGCTTGTAGTTATTAGTAGTAATTTAAACACAAATAATTATCGTATTTATCTTCAGGCACTTGGCAATACTCATCATCAAGTTTTATTCAGTTGATACGTGTTGTTATTACACACGTTTCGGGCATTTATTGCCCCTCTTCAGCCAACTTGCAGTTTTTCTCTGTAATTGTTGTTGTTTTTTTGCTGACCTTTATCCATTTTTTGATGATTGTTGCCGTTTCAGCTTTTGAAATTCTTATTCTGGTACTTTTGAAACCGTGCTTGTAGTTATTAGTAGTAATACTAATTACTACTAATACTAATTACTACTAATAACTACAAGCACGGTTTCAAAAGTACCAGAGAATTAAAATATTTTCCATTTGGTTGACAAAGCTTGAAAGACAAAAGTCAATGACATAGCTCAGGTCAAAACCAACAAAGAATCCCACCCCAGATGTTTGTCAGTTTTGTTTGACTTTTACCTTTGGAGAGACAGGTCCAAAATACCCATTTCTCAACTGGTATAATAAAATTTGCACCAATTTGTTAAAGTCTCAGGAAGAGCAAGTCTACTAAACATGAAGTAAAGATTTAGATATTTGCAGTGTCTGCATTTGTTGTGAAGAATTATATCTATAATATCTGTAAATATTTAATTGTAATGTTTTCTAAATTTTATTTTAATGTCATATAAGTCTTGGTAAGTATATA